TCCTTGTATGCCCTCAGCAAGTCCTCACTGCGGATAGGGCCTCCAACGGGGTGGCCGTGAAAACTTGACACCTCCATATGCCTGGCACCGGTCGAAAGAGCTAATGATGGTTTCCAAAACCTTGGGCAGTCCGAAGGACTATGGTATGCGGGTTTTAGGACAGGGTTTAGGATTCAGGGCGCCCTGTGGATAAAACATTCATTTAAAACATTTCAGTGCAAATTCAGACTTGCCATTCACGTGCGCTCATCCTCCAACAACAGCAAAGCAAAACAATACCTACTGTAGCCATAGTGGCTGACCAAGAGGGGAGGGCACATGCATCGAGTACACCTGGGTATGTGTGACCATACATTTGAATTTTACTACCCACTCAGTTGCTGTTTTATCCATATTTTGCAACAGGGCTCCAAACCTACCCCTAGCACAGAATACTTCAGGTAGCACAGGGACAGCAATTGAAACAGACTCTTCGGCTTGCTTCGGCTGAGAGGGAGTTTAGGTTTCAGTGCTCAGGGCTTTGGGAGGCTAGAACGTCCAAGTACTTCAAGACTGGGGCTTCAGGTCCCAAACACTATACTGGTTACTGAAAACCCCCGTACTGAAACCCCCGTACATTTGGTTACTTGGACCGTGAGGGGAACGAGCGGCAAGCAATTCTGCTTTCAACCCGGCCCCGGCCCGTCAGTGACTTGAATCATGCAGTACTTTCAGGCTCTGTACCCCCCAAAACATCGGCTTCAGGCTCTGTACCCGAAAACAAAAAAGGTGAGCTTCAGAAGACCTACTCTTCGGCCAACAGCTCCGCGCAGCCTACTTTCAGTAGAATGACACACACATCACTTCCAAGAGCCAGGGTCAGGAAAAGTATGCCCCAGAGATTGATGGCAAAACAGGAGTCCTTCATATACTCCTTGGAAATCCTATCCAGTGAAGATGATTTCTTGAGGACTCCGCGAGGCAGTGGCCTCTGGTGTTAGGACCGTTAGGATTCCCTGAACCCTATTCCGTAATTGCTAATCCCTATACTTCCTACCCTGATGGTCCAAGTACCACAAAAAAAAGAATGGTTTTTAGGTACCAAAAACCGTCAACATTTTTTAGCTTGGGATCTGGAACCTCATGATTTGGGTACATGGACCCTCTTTGCTAGATTCAAAACATGGCCAGGAAGGGTCTGGCAGAAGACGGATTCACGCTCATCGCCACTGTACACTCGCCCTCCGCCACGGCCTTTGCTTGCTTCGATGACCTGCTGCTTGGCCGAAGTGGGTGCTTTCTAGAAAATAATGGATTCTGCAATATGATACTTTCCCTAAATAGGGGGACCCCAATATAGACCCCAAAATACTTTAGTCTGGGGACCCCCAAAATGGTACCCCCAATTTGAGAGACCCCCCATATTCCCCCCAAAAAACCATAATGGCAAGGACCCCGCAAGGTTAGCCCATGGTTTCCTGAGAGTCCGTATAGAGCATGATATCACCTCGACAGGTCCTTCATTCCCTCATGCCTTTCCATTGAGTACTGCGGAAACCGCCGATATTGCCTCCACGCAGCAACAGTTGGATAATAGACAAAAATAGTTCTTATCATAGCTCCAATTATAGACTGTTGCTGGGTGGGGACGGTACCTTAAAGATACCTAAGCCCAAAACCCTTCGCCCTTAGCATTAACCATTACCTTGTCAGGTTTTTGCGGGCCTTTGTCCACCTTTGGAAATCAGAGGTGAGCTTTTGTGGCGATCGGTAATGGAGAATCAAATCGGAGAAAGCAAATGGAAAATACATTGGAAAGTAAGAGTTTATAGGGATCTATAGGACCCAAATAGCCCAACGCAGGTAATATTTACAAACTTTAGACCCCTCAGGCTTCAGGATTCATGGCACTTGTTCCATCAGAATCCTAATTTCCGTTTTTTGGGGTACTTGGAGGGGCCTGGAGATAGGTGATATGCCATAGCCTATCAACATACCCCTGAATGCTCTTCTGTTGCATCTACAGTAGCCCCGGCTTCATTCGGATTGCGAGTATTCTGCAGGACCTGTAGGCTGAGGGGTCCGATCTCTTACAACTGGAACGGCTATCTCACTAGGTCAGAGTCCCAGTGCTCGGAAGCATGTTGCCCTGAACATCCTGCGCTCACCCTATACCAAGATCCTACTTTCGGCTTGCATGTCAGAAGGAAGCCCAGGCCGTGAGACGGAGCGGATAAAGCAAGGGGAACTAGGTCCATGAATGATGCCCACGTTGGTCCTGAAAGTTTGTAAGTGAATCTACCTCAGATTTGTTGTTCCCTACAGGTTTTTGGTGCCCTATAGACTCAGTGTAGCCCTCTTACATTCCTCGTTTCAAGCCAATGGTGCCTGCAGGCCTCGAATACGGGTCCTGAAAGCTGTTTTGATCACGATAAGGCGTGGTGCGACCAGAAGGGCGCAAGAATTTGACATTGAGTTTGCCCAACGGTCCAAAGTCTCCAAATGGTGGAGCTACAGGTCGCACCACATATTCAATCTGACTGGTTTTTTGGTACGCAAAGGTCTAAACCCTTGGAATCTTGTGGTGTAAGCATAAAGCCTCAGCCCACGCCTTGAGTATGAATTAGTTGTCACCAGGTTGGTCCTATCCAGCGGGGTCGAGGTCTGTGGCTTGGGGTTTAGGGCAAAAGGGTTTAGGCTTAGGTAGGGTAGGGTTTAGGGAGTACAGGCTTTCCTGTACCCCCAATTTCCTACGGCTTGGTATTAAGTACCCCATATTACCCCTTAGCTAGTAGGCATAACGGTTTAACCCCAAAGTGTATTCGTAATTGAGGTTACAGCCACGGGTTTGCAAGAGGGTTTAGGGCTTCGGGATTTTCCGGCTATGGTTTTTCCGGGGGCCAGCACTGATTACAAGGTTCTAGGGTTATAACTGTTATGCATATTGCTTGGGGATAAGGAAACTTTTTGGGTTGAGTTGGGGGTTAGGATTTCTGTTGCGAAGTTTCCTCAAAGCTATACACGTCATGCTGTGCTCGCCCCAAACCCGGGGGCTCAAACGGGAAAGTGTCTAGCAGGGCCCCTGTCTTAAATCAAGAAAGAGAGGATTTCAAAAGATCGTGTTTTGTGTGGGCTGAAGGAGGCTATGGAAGGTTTTTTTGCCGTGTAACCCTGAAATTTGAGTTGGCAATATGCACCCCCAAACCCCATGGCGCTTTTGTAGCCTTTATGTGAGCTGCTACCCCTTATAAACATATGCTGAGGTATGACCCTCACAGAGACGAACACGGTTTTCAGGGTACAAGCTTTGGATTCCCACTGGTAACCTGAGATCTTGTCTGCATGGTCCTGAGCCCAGAGCCTTACAACGGAATATTGCAAAATCCGAGTTCAAGGTCTCAGAAGTGGACTTAAGCTGGCTTCGCTCTCAGATTGCTTGGTGATCGAAATATAAGCTATAGTCTCAAGTCCTAGTATTCCACTTACCCCTAAAATACTCCCCTAAATAATTCCCTACATAACCCCCCTTAAAAAGTTTCGACTATAGCTCATCTGCATGGCCAGGCCTATGCTGGTGAAGTGCAGCACATCCAGCGATACTTCGAGGCTTCCACTAGGGGTTCCCAAAGTGTCCGTGTAGGTATATTGTATATATATGGGGATTTCCCAAAATTAGGTGTACCCTTTTTGGGGTCCCAATAATAAGGACTATAGTATTTTGGGGTCCACATTGGGGTCCCCCTATTTTGGGAAACTACCATATTTTTCTTTATAAGTATATACTATATACGTACATGGACCCTTTGGGGTACTCGAGGCGACTTCTGCTGGTCATAGTATTGGTTTCCATGGCAGCGTTCGAAGCGACTCAGAGTTTTTTTAGCGGGTCTATATGCAGAGGCTTCCTGAAAGGAAGAAGCGTACTGCAGGACCGATTTTGAGCCCAGGCATCAGGACATAACAAGAAAGGTCGCACATGGTCAGTCTGCGAACCGATATAGGATGTAGGATTTACAGACCTCCGTACAAGATGTATGGGACTTGAAGAAAAGTATTGCGTCGAAGGATGCAGAGGCTGCAAGAACAGAATGCGCACAATATACGGAAACTGCAAAGGATTTTAGGTTGCAGACTTTTCTTGAGGGCGTTAACTATCCTTCTCAAGGAACATGCACAGCGCACAAAGGCATCCGAATGAAGCCCTTGCATAATCCCTGCTGGACAAACATGATCCCTACTAACTTTGCACTGGCACCATCCAACCCCAAAACATCAATCCTCCGTAAATCCAAGCTGCAAACCCGAGCCTCACGAGACCCAAAGCAATTTCAAACCCAAACGTACCACCCGGAGCCTCCCCTTCCAATGTTTTCTTGCTGGGTAGCCTACGCATTCCCTTTTCTGCTAGAAGCCTGACCATCACCACCAAGCAAACTCATGGGCCATGGGGCACCAGGCCCTTATGTGTTCACTGAGCACGCTCACCTGCGTTTCGTGCTCTTTCCTTGTTTTGGGAACTGGCTCGGAAAGTTAGCAGCAGGGCTGTTGGCCAAATGGATAAGGCGTCGGCCTCCAGAGCCAGAGAATCCAGGCTTGTTGGACTTACTTGTTACTTTCTGTTAATACTCAGTCCCCAAAGGGATATATCAAACTAATCTTTCAAATGCAAATATGGGATCAGTACATGTGAGCCCCAATCTCCGAAGGCTTGAATACAGGTAACATTGAGCTCCACTGCATGGTTCGCAGTCTAACCTAGTTTAGGGTTTAGGTTGCCGAATCACTGCCCATGAACCTTCAGAAATTACCCCTCGCGCCCAAACCCCTACACTCGCAAACCACCAAACCCTAAACCCCATCAACCCCACAGCTTTTGCTGGGAGGGCTTGGGCTTCGTCATGCCACGGCATGACTATGGCTTCTCTCTGCCAGACTGGCTCCTGGATGTGGTGAGCCGGCAGGCACCGCCTTGCATGCACCATTTAGAGGAATGACACTGCCTCACATCCTAGAGGTGGTGCATGATTTCCTCCATGCGCGGTAGCACCAATAATGAGGGTGATGTGCGCAGCTCGGGGATCTACAGTCTGCAGTTCGTTCGCAGGATGTCTAATGTTCATAGGCTAGAAGGTAATAAGGAAGCTTTCTAAATCTTGATGTTCCGTGGCTCAAGAGGACCCGGTATGGTAGTAACTTATATTAATGCAGTATTCCAACCTCGTAGGAGACCCTTGTAGTATTGTCATTATAGTTCTCAAATCTCCCGAGTCCAGGGCTTCTTCAGGGCAAGGGGACGCAAGGTGAAGGATGTAGACGGAGCCTATTTCTGGTGTGAGGGGGAGATGTTGAGTATCTGGTGCTCCATTGCGTAACTGTCACGCTGCACGTGACAAGAGCCCCAATAAGCATGGACATGCGTGTCGTGACAAAAGTAAACGTTGCAAAGCAAGGCAGAAACCCTCCCTAGCCCGTTCTGAGACATTCCGATAGCAAATCAATGTGGTGTACAGGTGAGTGAGAACAAGGATATTTGGGGCATGTGGAACAGTGGACATAGAAACTCCTGGAACACGTGTACTCGTACCAGTTGCAGTCAGACTTGCTGGTCAGGATCGCGGCAGTCGTGCAAATGCTTCCGAAAGGTTAAGAGGGATTGTGGCCTGTTTAGTGAGCCTTGGCGGTACCTCCCAAATGCAGAGGGATCCCGCAGCAAACCGTCATGAAGGGACTTAAATCAGACCTTAAGTGATTCGTGACGTACCCACACATGGGCTAAGAGCCCATCATCCTCAAACCCCAGTACCCCCGAAACCAGAAATCTGACATGCAAGACCAGAAATGATTCCAGATTCTGGCTGAAGGAGGTTTGCGACATCTGGCCGAAGGTGGACCGTCAGGAGTTTCAGCATCAAGGCGCGGCCTATATATTCCCTGTAGAAACCCACTGCCCCCTAGGGATTGAGTTTCTTTGGGTTTGGGATTTAGTTGGGCTTATATGGTTCTGAAATTCCTGCATTTAGGTTCGCATTATACCACAGGCTCTGATATAGAGTCAACAGCAGATTTTGGGGAAACTCCCACATAGTAGGACATAGCGATCAGAGACAGGTAAATTGGCTGCAGGGGTTGGATGCGCGCCCAGGGGCCATCATCAGCTAAAATCAGGCAATTGAGGGGAGACACTTAGGGTTTTAGGGTACAGGGCTTAGGGTTTGGGGTATTTTGGATTTAGATTATATGAGGTCATATAGGGCAATGTTTGGGAATAGGTTCTTCTGCTAAAGATGACATTCCTCTGGTTTCCGCACCTGGGGATGCTGAGGCTTGTGTTCCACCCTGTTTGCTGTGTATGCTTGCAAACATAGTAGACGCAGCGTGGAAGCAGGTGGAACCGGTAGGGCAGCTGTGCGGGGAGAACCACAACTTTATTTTGATTCGGGTATTGCCCCTAAACCCTAAACCCAGTTTCCATTTCATGTTCCATTTTCTTATTCTTTTCCGTTCGATTCTCCATTATGGGGGCTAATGTCCCCAATAAACCCTAAACCTAAACCCTAAACCCTAGATAACCCTAGATAATCTTTCAATTCTCAGAGCAGTTCTTCAGCGTTTGGCTTATTTGTCAGGCCATGGTGATTTCACATCACCCGTACAGCCCATGCTACCATGGTCCGTATAGAGTGCACCCCACTTCTTTTGTTCCATCCAAGTCCACACAGACGGTGTATAATATATACATGTCTTCGTTGCTTACATATACATGAATATGTATATACATATATATATATATTAGGTGTACATGTGTCTGTATTGCTTGTGCCGCACCATGAGATTCCTGGCCAAAAGGGATTCTAGTCCCCCTTAAGTAGATAGAACAGGGCTTGGGATATATTAGAATAAGACCTCCCAAAATATACCGCATATTCTAGCTACTGTTAAGGGGGAACATAACCCCAATATATAACCTATTAGAATAAAGTAGTTTTCATTTTCTTTTCCATTATCCCATTGTAACCCCAATGCTCTATCTACTTCAGGGGTCCTATAGGGCCTGAAACTGTAAATTCCGCTGCCCAGGCACCCTCACGTGGGCAGCGCCGGAGGTCGACGGGGTGACTGGGAATGCCTTGTTATTGTATATTATCGTATATTTTAAGATATTATATATATAATATAGTATACTATAGTGTATATTATGGTGTACTATGGTATATGATAGTCTACTATGGTATATTATAGTATATTATGATATATTTTAGGCGACTCTGGAGTCAGAGTGAGAACTGCAGCATCGCGGAGGCATTCGGGGTCTCATGACCCTAAAACGGAGGAAGAGGAGCAGATTCTGGTGAAACCAACCCTTCGACGACAAAGCCTTAAACAGCCTAGCTTGGATATTCCAGATATGTTCACAAGTTCGTCCATTTTAGGCGAATTTTGCTATTCGTTGGTCAGTTCCTTTATTATGAGCAGGAGGCGGTTAAGGGTCTCGGGCCATTGACAGGCAACAAGATAAGAAACAGAGGACTCGCCTTGAAACTTGTAGAAGCCCTAATTGCACGTCAAATCTGCCCAGACCGGAGAGCAGTAGTTAACATATCAAGCTCCACAATCCAAAGCCCCTCAAACCCTGTAGACCCTGCGGAACCCCCCTCCCCAAAATCATGTGGAGCTTGAAGACTCTTCCCACCGACACCGGAAACATTGCAGGCTGACCCACAAACTCCAAACCCTCAAATACAGTCCCTATAAACTGTAAAACGTAAAGCCTAAACCGAAACCACAAGCGCTGGACCCAAATCAGACCCAAAGGGTCCAAATACCCAAAAATTAGGGCTTTAGGCCCCAAGTACCATTCAGATTACAATATTTGGGCCCTAGAACCCCAATATTTGAGTCTTTGGACCCTTAGGGAGGAAATTGAAGCCCCGCCCGAGGTGAGTGTGGGCACACAGCTCGGCAAGCCAAGCCAGCTTGCAGCTCTCAGGAGCCGCTTAGGGGTTTAGGGTTTAGGGTTTAGAATTTAGGGTTTAGGGTTTGGGGTTTGGGATTTAGAGTTTGGGGTTTGGGGTTTAGGGTTTAGGTCTGAGGTTCGGGGCTTACTGTTCAGGAGTTGGATTTGGAGCCTTGTACTGAATAAGTAGAATAACGGACCATCAAGTGGAAAAGGAACCTGAAAATGGCATGGAAGTTGTTTTAAAAAGGGAGTGATAGGGATAGTTGTGTAGGAAGGGACTTTTTGACATAATGATCATCGTATCGGGGATCTATTAACCTCATTTTTGGAGACACATGTGGTAGGAGTTTGGAGAGACGGCACATGACATGGCGGTTGGGAAATTGATACAGGAGTTACTAAATGCTTTGAACCGAACCCTAAACCCTAAACACTGATTGTGGGCCAAGTTCTCGATTTGTTCGAGGGCTTGAGGCTTAACCTAAGCCTTATGTAGCAACCATTTTCTTTCCATTATCCCTAAACAACCCCTATACAACCTGTATATTCCGTAGTATACTGAACCTGGGTTTGGAGGGCTTGCGAGGTGATTTTTCGAGGCTCAGGGTTTTTGGGTTCAACGTTCCCCTTGGGCTTGCAGAGGATCTTTGGGGACTTTGGGTTCTGGCATTGAGGATTAAATCCTTGTTTTCGTAAATTGTTTCAAGAGGGGATCTCATTTAAAGCTTAGGTTTTCTGGTCAAGGAGTCTGGTGTTGAAGGTTTTCTTGTTTAGCTTTTTGCAGGGCTCAGGGGATCAGAGGGCCTAGAGGATAGGGGGTATAGAGTTCGAATCGAGGGGTAGGGTTTATACTTCTGGGTTCTAAGCCTTCGGGTCTAGGGCTGTTGCAGAGTCCTTCCACAGCCGCTTTCAAGCCTACGTATATACATGTAGTCATTCAAGAAATTATGGAGAGAAACATGCATTTGCACCAGGTATGATGAAGAGAGATAATGGTTCAGAATTGAGAGCCCATGCCATGGTCCCACATATCCAGCCATATGTAGTGGTGGGGATTAGGGGTTGGAAGCAATGATCTCCGCTGGGTTCAGCTTGCCTTTATTCGGAAGTAGGGTCCAGACCCTACATCCCAAACCTGCGAACCCTAAACTCCCAACCTTGTAAAGCCTTAACCTAAAACTTCACGAGTTTACATCCCAGCCCAGATTGAACAGATGTTGCTGCAGACTCCTGTTATGACTATCACTACTACTATTTTTTGATATTTCCTTATCGATATTATCATCACCATCATTATTTCTATCACCATGAACGTGATGTTTACATTTGCCATTTCCCTCGTTATGGTTAACATTCTAAGCAAGGGACACCCCATCGCCCGCACAGTTGGGCACGTGCGTTCGCAGGGGCGTCCGGGTTTTGAAACGGGGGCGGAAGTCTGGTTGCACGTATGTCCGCATTTCGGAAGAAGCCTGGAAACATACCCCAGAATATTTTCGACCCCCTAAACATGCCCCGACCTATTTTCACCATGTTCAGTACCCCTTTCTCTTCATGTCCCTATGCCGTGCATGCGCGAATGATTCCTGTGCTTGCCGCAGAACAGGGGCAATCAATGGAAAATTGCGAGCCCTCCCAAATTGAATATCAGATGTGATACGGTGTGATACAGAGGCATGTGTGTTTTAACTCCTGGCACCATGCGAGGACGATGCTCTGGTACCGCACCGGATCACGCCTCTTTGCTGCCACATACATTCCCCCCACATTGGGGGTCCTTCCGGGCTCGAGTGGGGATTAGCAAGGGATCATGTGGTTACGGGAGGGTTCCACAGGGGTAATGGAGAAAGGGGCAGGGTAGCTGAAACCGAAACCATGTAATCTTTGCAGAGCCTGAAGCACCCAATCCTAAAATACTAGACCGGAGCCTGAACCCCTTGACTTGCCCTAAACCTCATGCCCTACCCAGGCTACCGGGACCTGCACTTCCTCGGTGCCCGCTTCGGAGATAAGATTGCGCTGGGCATAGTCGCTGGGCTTAATTCCTAGCAAGTAAGGTTCAGGAGTAAGGGCATTGTGTAAACGGGAGGTTAGGAATTTGCAGTACGGGTTAGAGCTTAGATGTCTACAGTATTGGCATTATGGTTAAGGAATTACAGATTGAGGCGCAAAGTTCAAGAACCAATCGTTAGAGGATGCTCAATGATGCCTAAAACTGATCATAGGGATGAGACGAGTGTCAAGGCTGCACATCCCATGATGGGAATTCCTTGCATCAGTCAGTTTTGGTATATACGGGTTATATAGGGATAACGGACAAGAAAATGGAAACTAGTATAATGCGGTGATATAGGGTTGGTGAATGGTGGAATCCACCGGCAAGGACTTGCCCATGTCGACTGCAAACGCCTTGTGTGCTGTCTGGGGTCTTTTGCATTTCGACTTTTTGGGGCTTACGGGGAACCCGCCAATAGCATACAGCTCAGTAGAAATTACTTCATGACATTCCATGACCCATAACACCGTCGATGAAGGCGCCAAGCATGAAGGGTCGCCGGCTTGAACCCCGCATGTAGTGCAGTGCATCTTGAGTTTTAGCTGCATGCTTTGGAATGTGGGACTTATCTTAAGAAATAAATGTTGGTGTATATATTATGGTGTTTCAGGTTTTTACTATAATCAGTAGATGCCTTCCCACGATTGCTATGTGTCATTCAGCGCAATGTTTCCAGAAGTATAAGGCTCAGGGTTCAGGGCTTAGAGTCTGCCACCCCTCCCAGCCCTACTCGCAGAATCAAGACCTCAAAGCTCGTTTCGCACATGTTCCCCTACGAAGCCGAACTTCGAAGTGGTAGATTGAGGACCATTTTTGTGGTTCACCTTACGGTAGGACGAGGATGTCAGCAAGTTAGATGGGTATTCACAGAAGGGTCAGGAAGGGGCTGCCTGGGACAAGAAACCCTAGCCAATCTTCCACCTACAACCGTCATCCATGTCATATCATAGTAATATCATAGTATACCTTGATATAGCATGAAAAAATATGGTATACTATACTAGACTCTACTATGTTGAGCATCTTTGAGGATCTGTTTTTTTTGGTTTGGGCCAGCCCGAAACGCTAAGCTCGGAACCCTGCCGCAGATGGATCTGGTACTTTGTGCTCAGAGCCCAACACTTAAGGGTTTAGGGCTTAGAATTGGGGATTTCGGGATCCAAATAGCCCAATGTAGGTAGCAGGTATTATTTGCATGCTTGGGTCCCTAGGGTAGGCCTAAGCCATTCACATCCTAAACCTCCAGCCTTGAATCCCTGGCACCCTTTGAACATTTTCTGCTTAGAACGCAGCATCCCATAGAGGCCAGTTTTCAAATACCCATGTTACTATGCTACTACATTATATCGGGTTTGATTTGTTTTTTATAATGTATTATATACTATATTTTCTATTTTATCGTGAAGTAGAGTACACCATGATAGATTATGGCATATTTTGCATACTCTACTATACTTTGTAGAGCATCTCCTGGAATTTATTCTTTTGCTTCCAAGCCCCAAATCCCCAAGTTATGCATGAAGGTGTTCGTGAGCTTGTACTGGAGAATCGGGGAAAAGGAAGACCTCGCTAGCGTCCAGCAACTTTGACAACAAACCGAGGGCCTTTTTTTTGTGTTGATGTTCTTTCTTTTGGAAATGGGATGCTGGGGGGGGCCAGTCTCTGATGCGATATATACCTTCATGGGCTGCAGCGTTTGGGCTTGATAAGGTTTTGTTGGGAGAGCTGCGCTTTGCAGCCTATGCGATGAAAATCGCAGGATCACTTGCTTTAATTCCCCCAAAACTGTCTACATAGATTTGAGGGCACCTGAAAAGACTAACTGTCGTTTGGAGAATCGCAAAGGAAGTCTTCGGGCTGGGTTTTGCAGGCAAGTAGCCGCGTCGTGTGCACTGTTCGGTTCTGCACTCCTCCATTCTAGAAGAGTTTTGTATGCTCTAGAATTATGAAGGAGATGAGGATAACAGGCACCCAACATAGGCATAGTTAACATTTATGAGGGTGCCAAAGCAACTACTTGGGTTTTAAGGTAACCCAAACCAAACTAGCAGTGCCTTGGGCGATTCCTAGCACGCTCAATTGGCCTCACGCTTCAATTGTAGTTACTGGTGCGCGTATGCAGGAGAAGAAGGGTTTTATCCAGGAGCGCGATTATCACAGCTTGCCTAATAAAAGTATTCCTAGTACGGATTCGAAGGCGAAAAGGTGAAAATTGAGTACGTTTCTTTTTCACAAGTTTGTTGGGTTTGTATGGGTTTAGTATGGGTGCGACTTTCGTTGGGTATGGATGTTCAACATATTGTTCACCATTTGGTCCGCGACGTTGGATATCAGCATCCCCACACAATATTCCGACAGTAGGAATCCAAACCTTCAATACCTTGAGGCGACATTCATGCTAGCTTAAAAGGTAAGTATTCCCGAAACCAAAATGTATTCTTTGTGCTAGGAATACCAAAAAGCCTTCGGCTGCATTCGCTGACTAGTCTAGTCCTTAATATACTCTCTGATAAGGAACCCATGTCCATTAATTTTCAGGCTACTACATTGACTGCAGATCATTTGGAGTCCTAGCCACGAATGGCTGCAAACCATTGGCTTCGGCTTTATGGGCACAAAACGTATTGCCCAAAGCCTTAAACTCTAAACCCTATATGATCTACATTATTCCCCTGAACTCTAAGCCCTTGACCTTGCTCAACCCTACCCCAACCATAAACTCCCAAATCCTACACTCCTGAACTCTAAACTCCTAAACCGTAAGCCCCAAACTACTCATCCCTATAACCCTCATCGAGAGAGAGGAACAGCCTAAGGTCTGAACTACTTGGCCCTTCCTGGCTCCCCCACGTGATTCCTGTATCTTAGTTATGTTCCCAGGATCTTATGGGGTATATGAGGACCCCAGGGTTGAGAACCCGTACTAGGGGCCCACAGATCTTACGCTGAACCCCACGCCCTAAACCCTATAGGTCAACCTGTGGTATTTTCTTCTTCCTCGTGGCTATGTGTGGCTTTACAGCTACCAGCTTCCTGCCGGCTCCTGTGGCATAAGATGTAGGGTCCAGGGTTTACAGCTTTAAAATGTTGAGAGTTTAGGGTTCAGGGTTTAGGGTCTAGAGCCCAAGCATGTGAGCCGACATGGTGTCGCTGAGTCCACATGACCCACCATTCAGGCACTTGGGTCGTTAGGTTTGTCGGGGTGAGGGCTGTAGCTTTAAGGTTGCTATCAGATCAGTATTGCAAGTGTTGTCATGTCGGTCTGAGCTTCAGACGTTCAGGGAAAGACTTGGTCTGGAACTTTCTGGTTTGGGTTTTAGAAGCACATGACCCGCCTTCCTACGTGACTCCGGGTTGAGACCCAAAACTTACAGGGTCCTCTGCATCATGGCAGATGCCACATTTTTTTAGGAGCAGGTTTGGGGACGAGGTAGCCTCAGGACGGGAGCTTTGCATGTGCATTTGCATTTCATGATTTGTTTTGGCTCCCATTATAGCACCGTTCCGACAAGATTTCGGGTACCCAAAAGGCGCCAGATTTTCTGACACCACTATATAGTTGATGTATTTGCAGGCTGCTATCTTATGTGAGGATCGAGTTGCGCAATCCCATGTGGTACAGAGTTGGAACACTGTCTGCTCTGACGCTGCGCGCAAGACATTATGAGTGCAAGTAGGACTCTACGGTACACAGAAAAAGACATGATGCCGAGCATGAGGGTGGTGGTGGTGGTGGTGGCAGCAGGGGCGCATGTGTTGCAGCTGCAATATCCACGCAGGCATGGTAATGTCTGCAGGTGAGGCACAATCTAGTAGAGCCTTTGTACGCAAGATGCCCCTCCAAAAGGATGCACCCCAAGCTGGAAGGCAGCCTCCGACAAAGTTGTGGTGTGCTTCGGGGCTTTGTTTTGCGGATTTGCTACCTTGCAAGTCCTTCTAGTGTTTTGTAGATATTCTTCGCAATTTGCCACTTCTATGAGGCCTTGGTGTTGGAGCGCTCGCTCTTCTATCGCGAGCGTGCGGACGGCCTGTACAACAGCGTGACGCTAGGATTTCGGCAGTAGAGTTTATTGCGATTTGGTTTTTGGGCTTTGACTTCTGCAGAGGTGCTTGGGGACTACGTTTTTGGGCTTGCAAATTCTGGATTGCAGTTGCCAAGCCCTCATGTATTCTTGAAGACTGGACGTTTGCCACCAAACAGTTGCTTTGTTCTGAAAAGTCATGTATAAAGTAGTCTGAGCCTCCAGACATACCTGGCGCTTGGGGTTTTATTCTGGCAAGAGGCGTGCTGTTTCACCTTTTTTTGTTAATGTCTTGACGGCCCAGACAGCGAATTGTTGAACGTCATATGCGCCGCGGAGAATAGGCATGCAGCGTTTTGAAATCAGCATGTTTAGACGTTTGTCGAACCGTAGAAAATGCCGACTGGTCGCTCGGGATCTGGCCAGGAAGTTGTGTGTTGAGGCACTTTCCGGCCGGCACGCGTTAAGAAAAACAACGTGAGAGGATTTCCATGAAACAAGGGTCGTAGTCAGGCTGGCGTGGCTTGAAAGACGCGCTTCGCCACAGCGAAACGCTCAACTCTTGCATTGCAAGAGTTTTCTTGGCCATTTTTGTCTTGAACAGGTTGAAGATGTGTGATGTCAGAAAGTGCCGCGCATGCCAGTCCAAGTGAAGCATACCAACATGCTGAAACTGCCGGCCATCGCAGATCGTACTAGTTACTAGTGGAGTGAGTGTGAAAAACAGTATTCGCAGAAAGGAAACCTCTGTCAATTTGATCATGAAGGGTTTCTGACGGCTTGGAAAGTTTTGTGGGATTGAGCTATATAGAGGTTCATGCGGTAGGATTTAGGGTTTATGAGGGGTGTCCGGGTGTCCTAGTTTTTCGATTGATGATGAATTAGGACTCGCTGAGCCGTTGAGCCTCTCAGCAATTTGCCGGAAACTATTTAGAAAATGACTCGGGTATGAATGACGTCTTGGATTCCAAAGGGTTTCAAAGTACGACGCAAGAGCATGCAGGACCTGAACGGCCTAGTTGAGGAATTACGGATTTGCTAGAATGTCCCCTTTACCGAGCTGTTCGGTCTATTAAGCGCTTCTATTAGAAGTTGTGTATTGCTGCTGAAGGGACCATCCTCCGGCCCTGCTACTTGTCATCTGCAAGCCCAGGACATACTACGCCGTCAAGCTGATAGAAGAGGCTTGCAGTGTTGGTCCCAACCCTTGGGGTCCAAGTATTGAAATTGTGTAGAACGCGCCCGCAAGGCAACAGGAAACGATCTGGGCTCATAATATATACGGTTTCTGCATGGGACTCTGAGGGTAAGATTTCTGCCAGGGTTCAGAGTTAAGGATGAAAGTCAGAGTGCGGGGTTTCAGACTTCAGCATAGGGTGTACAGGTAGCATGTCGTGTTTTAGTATGGAGCGCAGAGCACCTGGGAATTTGCAGCCTCCTGCTGAGATATCCGGAATCCCGTACATTTTAGAAGGCAGCATAGTTGTTTGAAGAGATATGAGAATATTATCCCTTTGCACTCCAAGCTCCTTTTGAAATCCCATGGCCCCTACAGTAACAGGCGAACTGTACCTCAAGACATGGCAGTTTGACTGCTTTGCATGCCGTCTATCAGTTTAAGCAGTAGCCAGAAACTTGATCACCAAATTGCTTCACAGGAAAATGGAGAGCGGACAGAGACGGGGTGGGCGAACATGCAGCAACTAGAATGCCTGTGGCTTCTTGTCAATGCATGCACTGCCAAACAACAAGCTCTAAACCTTAAGCCAGTCTTAAAGCACACCTAGGAGCTGCAAAATGCAGAAGTCTAAAATACACGCTAGCGCTCGTTTAACGAGTGAGTGGGCGCGGATGACAGCAGGTGTAGCTGCTGACTCATTCACTGTGCGACCCAGGGAAGTGATGTTAAAAATACAATGGACTTGCAGGATCCCCGGGCAGAGAGTGCCCAGATAAAATATTGTTCCAAGACACGAAACCATTTAAAGCCCCTAAGCTCCCCAATGTAGTTGAACAGAAGCTGCATCTGCAGTTGTAGTTGGGTAGGCCCTAAAACCGCCTGGGGAGGCAGTGATGAGCGTTGTGGTCATCTTCCTGTTCAGCGTCCAGGATGAACTGGCTTCAACGGCAGTTTCTCATAAATCTGTATCGGGTTTAGGTTTCAGGCCGTTTTGGCGGTCTGTTCCTTTTTACGACTTGGGGTGACCCTATGATGCGAAATGCCTAAGGCCTAAAAGGCCATTGGCAGAACGGCTACTGCTAAAACAATTGTTCAGGTTACCTTCATGATTTGTTGTTGGGGGGGGGGAGGCTCTGTCACTTTTACAGCTGCAGCGGGTCCTGATTCACCCTAGAGGCTTTGCTTTACTGTAAGTTATACTTTCGTCTCATCGATTTGCCTCCTTCATGGTGCTAGCCGCAGCACTGCCCATAGAAGTCTTACCACAACACGTTTATCATTGTTCAATACCGGCTGTTTTACCTTGAGGGTCCTGACGTGGTGGAAGTCATTTGGGAGTCATAGTAGGCATCTTTGAGATTGCACCTGAAGCCGGATAAGCTAAACATAGTTTGGGGGTGTTACACCCCACAACCATTAGACCCTTAAGCCTTAGCCGCAAGAGTCACAAACCCTGAGCCCTGAAACCTCAACCTATTCGGAGGCTCATTGGACTTAGCAACCAGTTGTAAATTGGGTACTAAATCCCATGAACCGCTCGAAGCCCCAAACCCTAGCCCCCAAATCCTGCCCGTGAACCTCCAAAAACGGTAGTTTAAAAAAATAATAGGACCCCAATGTAGACTCAAAATACTGTAATCCTTACTATGAGGACCCCCAGAAAGGTACCTTGAATTCTAGGAAACCCCATATGGGTTTCAGACAGCGAGGTCTTGCGCTGTACACGGCCCTGGGGCTCTACGGATCCTTTGGGGTCTTCTTCGCTACGCTCTACACAACAAACTTCATAGGCGGCTCAAAATATCCATGCCTTTTGCAGGAATAAACCAGGGAATATGTAACAGATGTGTTTATATGAAAAAGACGACTTCAACATGAGCAGCAAACTTATCAACACATATGCGCATGCACGTGTCTGCGTGTGTGTACTGGCTTTGGTGGCCAGATGCTTCTGTGGGCAGTCTTTTCGTGGTTTGATTGTCGAATGGTCCTTGTTACCGCAGTCTTGGACCCAAAGCTCTTCAAACTCTACATGCGCACCTACAATTACGATCACAGACACGAATTTTCATGCCCTAAGCTTGGATGAAGAGGCCTTAGTTTTCATGTGGGCAACTGTGGGGCCCACTTCAGTTCCTTTCCCTGAGCTTCTTACGCAGCCTACGTACGGCTATGGGTTCACGGCTATGGGTTCATGGCCGGTTGTGGTGGGCTTACAGGCAGATCATAGACATAAGCATGCACACAAATGTTGGATGCTAAAATATTGGCCCATGCTTCAGCCTCAACGTGCCCGTGGAAGCATCTGCTGAAGCCTTCACAACCGTGACAAGCATGTTTGGACGTTTGGAGGTGCTTAGAATGTTGAAGGTGGGGTGCGCGGCCCCAGCTCTAGAGTCGCAGACCCGGATGGGTGCATGTCTTGAGGGGACCGGTACGTATGGTAAACACTCTAGTAGGGGAAAAACCACTTTACCTGCATCTCAGACATCAAGGTGCCTTTGCACTCCAAAGCGTATCTTCATGTAATTTGCGGAGGGGACTAGACCCGCAATATCTCCACACTAAGCCAAAATCAACATGAGCTGCACCTTTTCAAAAGAAGAGTCCTGGTTTCATTGGAGCCCACAAGCCGCCCGGCACCCTGAACTCCATCCCCCCACCCCAAAAAATTGTGAAATAAATTGTAGTTCCCCAAAAAAAGGGTGACCTCAATGTAGACCCCATGATATTTCAATCCTATCTCTAGGGACCCCCAAACATGAAAAGGTACCCCCCCCCCCAAGTTTTGCGAAAACCTCAGAATCAACCGTGAGCTCTAAAGCAACCACCTGGTAGGCATAGTAGTTGCCTACGCCATAGCGGCCATTGCTCCAAACATGGAGATCCTCGGCTAATTCTGCCCTGAGGGATCCAAACAGCCCAATGTATGTGTATATATATATAGGTATTCTCTGCATACTTGGATCACTAGGGTATTGTTTAAAGGTTTGGTTTAGTTTGTCTAGGTGCTGGCGGTACTTGGTTTCGGCGGTTAGGATATCGAGTTGCGTCTAAGGGTTGGGCTGTAGTGTGTTGTTGTCTACCCTTAGGGTCCAGGTTCAACGCCGATAGGGTGTGATGCTTGCTTACCCAGTCACATAGAGTACTTCAGCGCTGCGATGCCCCCTTCCATGACTAGCCCAGAGTAGTAGGATCCAGTTACTGTGACACCAAAAAACATCCCCAGTGGAATCCTGGAAAGGGCCGATAGCCAAGAAGCTTGCTGAACCTTAAAAAGCGTGTCGACAGTTGCACAAGTGCTCAATGTCCCTGTCACGTAAGCGTTCTTTGCATTCAACCAAGGATAGTCACACAAGGAGATTCCTAGAGATTATCATGGGGAGCTCACACCTAAACCCTAAACCCTGAAATCCTAGACCGGTTTTGGGAGACAACACAAAGTTCAAATGTTTTTGCTCATAGGCATGACCTTCAGGCTCCAGTTCTAGGCCATGCAAAGACTTGGGCGCCCTCCCCGGGTATGAGGCCTAACATGGCTGCCATGGCCTAGGATATTCTTGGAAAAGCCCTGATGCAAGCTGAAGCCTGACAGACCTCCGGCTAGTCTGGCCAAGCCACGCTGGGGGAAGAAATCATCATGTTCCTGAACGCTACGGCTCACCAATGTCCATGTTATGCATGTGTGTACATGGGTATATAGATATGTGTGCGCACTCCAGGCGCCATGCTCTTAACGGCAGGGCCTCCACAAACAATACCCGTATGCAGGCGCAGGTTTTTAGAAAAATACATGGTATTCGTTACTACCGTTAATATCCCTCCTTTTTAAACCTTAGCCATAGGAAGCCTTGTTTAGGGCCCGCAAACCCTACCCCAGTGCGGTGTTTCGAGATTTTTGGAGAATGCTCGCAGTGGAGCCCAGGATCGCGAATGCAACTCTCCCTGCTTACCTGGCCTCCACGGCGTTCCATGGCCGAATCCGTTAGGGTATTCTGGGGGGGAAAGGGGTTATACAGGGATAATATGAGGTTCGTAACAGATGGGAATTACCATCATGGTTATTAGGGTCAAGGGTTTACCTGAACCCCGAATCACCTAGAGTCATGGATTGTGGTTTTTAATTTCGGGGGTAAGTAGTACGAAGCTGTAGGTTATTTGGGTTACAGGTACACATATATGACAACCCGATGTACAGGGTTTGGGGCTTTGGGGTTCAGTGGCAGAGATTAGGAGGACCCCCCACCCTGTAATAGTGGTATAATAGGAATATAACCCTAAACCGTAATACAAGCACTGCTATTCCTTATAGTCACTATTACAGGGTGGGGGTGGGAGCAAGCTCGCGAGACCCCCTTCTGCCATTTAGCATGTGGGTTGTTCTCTTATGGGCCCCTTTTGGTCACAGATCATTATATTGCTGCACCTGATATCTACGGCCTAATTCTGGGAACTACCCCATATCTAGAATTCGGCTAGAGACTTGGATGCGTCTAGGGTGGGTGACCCTTGCAGATTCTCATGGTGAACGCTAGAAATGATGCAATGGTTGTTATGTTATGTAACTTAGGGCCCTATTCATATTCCAGGCATACCGCTAATTACTAGTGTGCAGGTCGGACCATCCCAGGTGCAGGCTTCCGTCATTTGGGCTGTAGCCAAGAATCAAAAGAAACAAATACCGGGGAGCATGCCTGTAGCTGTCCGCGCAACAGGAAAACAAGCGAGGGTTTAGGGTCTTTAGGGATTAGGGTCTATAGGGATGAGGGCGTCTGGGGTTTAGCGTTTATAGGGTCCGCCACCCCCTAGCATTACATGAGTCACTCATTTTCGTGGCGCGTACAAAAAGCTTTGGCATCAGCTGAGGTGTGTTTGTGGCTTCTTCATCCTTTGTGAGAGCCTTCACTGTGTTTGGCTGTATGTCCCTGAAATCTATACGAGCTAATGTCTTAAGTCCCTAAAGGGAGTTATATAGGGGATTATATAGGGGACTTCTCAAGGGGTAATTAAGGGAGATACTCGGAGTCATATACCTCTCCTGCAAGACCAGGTTTAGGATTTAAGCTTTGGTCCAAAGATTTTGGGTGGGTAGCTCCTCTCAGAAAAGCCTTGCCGTTCTATACCTCAAGGCTCCCCATACAGCCTTACAGTAGCAGTAGGTAAGGGTACCCACCTGGTCTCCCCCCACCTGAAACTTGCCTTAATTTTGGGGCTCAGGGCTTAGGATTCCTGGGCCCAAAGATTCAGTTGACAACGCTGGTTCTGCAGCATCCGTTGACATAGTCGAGCCACGTCTCCGAAGCCCTGCCAAGCCTTTGTGGGTTTTCAGGGTGTTAGGGCCTAGGATTTAGGGTTTGGGGGTTTCAGGTTTTAGGGTTTAGGCTTTACGGTTTAGGGTTTCTAGGGCTTAGGATTTCAGGTTGAGCGCTCTTAGGGTGTAGGATTTAGGCTGTAGGACTCCCAGAAACCCTTTTCTCAGACTCTTTCCTCGCAGAATTGTAGCCTTGAAGGCTGAGCCACGGCCACCGCTACTATTGTTTAACCGCTTCCCCCTGATAATAAACTCCCCCCCAATATAGATTACGGGCTTCCCCGAGTTCCACAAATTGGAAATCTGCCCCCAAGACTACTCTTGAAAGGGCCAGAAGGTCAGTTAGGGCTCGGATCCTCCGAATAAGGGGTCCCTAGCATCACTCTTAAGGATAAGGGATCTTCTTGATTTCCTAGTTCTTGATTGGTTTTGACTAGCTTGTAGAAAGAGTTTACATTGATTGTCCCCCGACTTTAACTTTCGATTTTTTTGATTAGGTTGTAAATGAGATTCCTAGTAGGCTTTACTTGTTTTGCTTACAGCTTTCAACTGATTTGGAACGCTTTTTGCTACGGTTTCGATTGGGTTTTAACTGCTTTCATTCGATTTTGACTGATCGCTTTGTAGTGTAAGCCCCCTCCACTTAATGTGTGAGTCCTACGATAACTCCCCCCAACAAAAGATGCAGGTGGGCGTATATACTTTAGGTGTGAGGCGGGCCTTTTTTTAGGGGGAAATGATTTCTACGACGAACTTCTTCCTCTTTAAGATTATTTTGCCAGTGGACGTTGACGACGTGTCCCCCAGACTTGCTTTCAGGTCATTTTGGGTGATTCCTAGACCTTGAAAGGTGTCTGGTTTTCTCCATCGGGATATAAGGGTGCTGTGAGATTTATAGAGATCAGGGTGCATAGGGGTTTAGAGTAATAAACTTCGGGAAGAAGCCAAGTTATTTGCAAGGACTATCCCTTAATCGCTTGTACTTTCCGGAGGGAGCGTCCTTGAAGGTGCTATACTAGGGGACTATTGTAGCTCATTGATTCATGTGATAAGTGTTACTGTAAGGGGCGAATGACCTTTGATAATTGAGAGGTTTAGGTAGCGCAGTGTGTCATCCTGACGAGTGCTGGCAGGCAGAATCAGGCCCAGGGGGGTCCTTTCTTTAGAGTTTATAGGTTTAGGGTTGCTGTTCTCCGTGTTTTGCGCATGAAAGCAGGGGACATGGGCCACAGGACTGAGGAGGGGTGGTGTACAGAAGATGGAAAACTTTGAGCAAGCTACTTAGGCTTCAGCTTCGGAGAACACGACCATTCCAGCTTCCCTGGGCCATATTCAACCCTAGACCGCGAAGCCCCAAAGCCTACCGGAAGAAAAGGAACATGGCCTACCCATGGCAATGTTGCTTGGCCAACACTTGGAGGTTCATGGCATGTAGTTTCCTTACCTACAGGCAAGGCAATAACCAAGTTTCAAGTAGTTTCCAGGTCCCAAGTGCCTGTAGGCGGGGAGTTTTTTGGGGATCGAGCCATGATCGCTGTGAGCAGCGGGCCATACTGCATCAAGCATCTGTGTGTAGTGAGTGCTCGGGCGTGAGGATGATGAATGCGGGAGTTCAAGGATCATGTGCTGTAGGAGTTCGGGCTTGCAGAGTTATGGATTTGTGAATCAGGGATTTCGGTCTAGCTATGAGTTTCAGGTTTGCTGGTGCACACCCTATAAACCTTCTGAGAGTGGTGCTGACACTCATGTGTTTCGATTTGGGCTCTCTGGGTAATGGGGGTGTGGATCTCACGAATTGCCCAAATGATTAGGCATGTCTCTTGGTATTCTGTATGAAGCTGCGTGTGCCGTTCAGCCCCATGAGGCTTAAACCGAATCCCCGAAACGCGTGAAGCCTCCATCCCACAAACACGGAATCGTAAGGAAGTTTGGGGCATCTGGATTGCCACCGCGCACCATCCTCGACATCTCAACAGAAAAGCTTCATCTTGCATAGTTGGGAGGTGGGAGGGGTAGCAGTGATTCATCTCAAACAATTCTGTAGCTGCAATCCAGGATTGTTGCTGCGACGTTGCGCCCAGAGTGCTTCCATACAATCCCAAAAAGTTCACAATTCATGTCCTCAAACCCCAAGAGGCCACACAGAACTGCACACACATTTTTTAGCACCAGGAGCCGAGGGTATGTATAGAAATGGCCTACTCTAGGCATTCTTTCATGGATTTGGGCCGCTCTTTTCCTTTCTTTGGGGGTACAAAAAAATACCCTTAACCTGAAGGGGCCCAAAGTCCAACAATGATCAAGGCATCCCAACCGTCAAAATAGCCTTGAGGCTACTCTGCCATCTCATTCATGAAGTATGCCTGGGCACTCCTGATGCTGAACCACTTCGGCGAGCACCCAGGCAATGTCCTCCTGACAGTGAGATTCACAATTCAGGGATCCAGGGGCTTGGGGCCTAGGATCTGTAGTCTACATCCTGTTTTATGGCTGGACATACATGTTTTGTAATAAGCCCCTTCCCAGCGCACCCACAATCCTGGAACGAACCCTCGAAGATCACTTGCACAAGTGCTGCAACTATATAGTTTAGAAGGGCAGCACATAGGATGTCGTGGAAATTGAATTAGAGGTGCGATTTTGAGTCGATTTAGGAGGTCGTAATCAGGAATAATCAGACGGGACCGGTTTGATCGATCTCGCTCGTTTCCCATGGGCCTCCTTTGTTTTATTTCAAGGTCCCCAAATAGCATATTCCCCTTTTCACTATGAAGCCCCAGTAAGATTCTCTTAATCTGTAGAAAGCCTGCCAGCCTCAGCAGCGATCCCAGATATATATATATATATACACATATGTACTGGGCAATTTGAAGCGACCTCACCCTAGATTGTGGTTTACATTGGGAATAGTGCCCGAGTGGCCTTGAATTGGGAATTGAAACTTCTAAACTACCCTGTATACATATATCTATATATATCCTCGGCTTGATTGCTCTCATGAGGTTCGTACGAACGATGTATGTATCGAAGAACCGACAAACTGCAAAGGAATCTCATTTGAATGGGGATATCATTCCTGTCCTTGCTTTGTTATTGCCTTGCTCATGTTCTTACCCAATGCAAGTATAGAAATTTCATGAGGATTGATACTTTAGATGATCGCGGAGTCAGAGATCTTTATGTAGACGCTAATGTAGAAGCCCTGAGCGAGCCAAGAGAGAGCGGGGCTGTCACAGGAAAAGATAGATCGGGTACTGCCCCTACCCTGTAACAGTCTATATCAGGAGTCATATTACGGGCTATCTACTAACAATATTGTAAATATTATCAAACTGTTACAGAGTGGGGTTAGTACCAAACAGATAACACTTGAAAGCTGTTACCCTCATCCGATCGGCTGAGCTGGAGCATGTGGGTGTGCCTTAGAGGCCTTAGCATTGGGGAGTTTTTATGATATCTCAAGCTTAGTGGATTCCGAGTTGCAGCATCAATGCCGCAATAGTCACCTGCCCTTTCAGTAACCTCCCCAGTGATGAGCAAACTCCTTAATCTGAACTGGTACTATATTGGGGGGATGATTAGGAGGGTGGTCCTTGGTGTACGGAGGTTCACTACCAGGGGCAAGCACTTATTCAGGGTTGTCAAAAGGTTGTCTATGACGATTCTATGTGGTCGCTTGCTAGCACATCCTGCAATGGAGTCCCATGTCTCTGAGCTATACACGAGAAAGTCGAGATGGCTCACGTAAGGACACTTGACGATTCGCGGGTTGTGAGACATGGTTATATTTGGGACATACGGACAGCGCAAGCTGGGAAACTTATGACTCCAACGTAGAACTTCTCGCGAAACCTGAAGCAGGCGGGGAGTCCAACTTCTATTACAAGGATGGGGAGATCATCAATGTCATTGCGCCTTGCCAGCCATTTTTTAGGAGCGACACGTTGGACCATGAACTTCGCGCACAAAATCCAAACCCAATTTCAGTGAGACATGAAACGTTGAGTACTGAGCCTACGAGGAACTACTCGTAGAAAGAACAGTAACCGCTCGTGTTGGGATCTATTGCAGGGGTTGATAGGCACATGCTTGGGGTATTTACGAAAATTGTGATTCCTTATTTGGAGGTGTAGTGATGTGTACAACTTCTCGGGTAAAAAGCCGCAGCTCTACCCGCTCCAACAGCCATTGAGGCTCCTTGTCTGAGACCACTTCATTACAGTCATGCATCCTATCCCCCTTGGGATAATGGAAAATCAAATGGAAACTACTATAATATTGGGGTTATAAGTGGATAATGGAAAAGAAAATGGAAAATACTATAGGGTTTTTATCACATGGTTTAAGGTCTAGGGTCCACTTCCTTGGAAGTGCCCTCCTGTGTCTGACCTCTACAAAGCTGGAAGAAACCTTTCCTTCCCATCGGAAAGGTCCCTGACTCGGCAACCTCAGGAGAATCTCCCACTACGCTGGCCTAAATTAGTTGATGGTGCCAGGTTCCTTGTATAGTTGCGGTATAGCGTACCTCGCACAGCCTGCAGAATCGGTTCCTTTGCCAAATAGTGGTGGCGGCACCACTGTTGCGTTTGCCCGTCACTCCACATTCTCTTTCGCAAAGCCACCGTGCCTTCGCAATCCGTCGGCTCACCTCTTCTTCGGGGTGCGCAAACCTTCGCAGTCTGTTTTCCGTCGGCCCCCTCACAAGACGACCCCATCCTTGTCGCCTTCAATGAATGACATGTGCTTTGGGCCTAAGGTCTATATATAACATAGGTATACCCACAGCGAGATTCGTAGATCCCCAGGGCTAAGGCATACATCGTGCACGATGAGTCCTTAGCATGTGAGAAGTTGATCGGTCATGAGCCTCTGGGCTGAGAGGCCTGAGACTAAGGGGTGAAGAGGTGCCCTGAGGACTAAACTTTGTGTTTAGGGTTTAGGGTGTAGGGTTAAGGTCTTCAAAGGGAATGGAAGAATGCCATCCTATACTAGCCCCTATAGTAAACCTGTGAAACAAGGACAGTACTTCATTGATTACCAACAGCCAGCCAGTAAGCTCCCGAACCCTAAGCCCTATACATCCAGATGAGACCCTAGTTTCCATTCGAGTTCCATGTTTGTTCATGGATTTTCCATTCCGTACCAAAACGCTGGACGAAACTTTGCAGTATACTTATACCTGAATGATTACAGTATTTTGGGGACCCTACGTGGTGCACGATTTCTTCCATCCATTGTAGGACTCATGAGGCAGGTGACAGATCAAAGGCTTTCTGGCTTACGCGGTATGAGCAACGATCATCTCCTCCCGAAAACTTCCAGCAGAAAACCTTCGGCCCGTGGAGGCCCCAGGCCCTGGAACCCCACAAAGGTTGAGGCCTTCCCTCTGAGTCGGCTGCTGCAAAGGATTTCTACGGCATGGACGAGGGCATTACTTCAAGCATTCCTTTGTGCTTTGCAGCGCTCATTGGTGTGTGGTTCGTGCATCTTGCATGAGATGGTGTAGGAGTCTTGGGTTCAAGGGTTGGTCTTAAAGCATACGTTCAATGCTTATCGGTGCAAGGCTTGCTACGTACTACTGGGCAAGCGTGGTGTTCTGTCTTCCATGCGTTTATCTACTTCGGCTGCACCAGACTGAGTCTTAGGAGCAACTATCAAGGGTTTGTTGTGTAACTTTGTCTCATGTTCAAACTGCAAGCCTGACCGTTTACCTAACCTGATGCTACCCCAAGCCAAGCCCTGAACAGCTGAACCCCACAACCCCGAATCCTTCTCCGCTAAACGCGAAACCATTTTTTTGCGTCTTAATTTACAGGGTTGGGGCTACCAAATTCTCATTGAAGTCTGGCCCAGGTTCGTCGCCGCTGGAATCTTGGGGCTGGCTTTCATCACGCATGCTCGACGGCGACACAGCTGCGCTTCTTTGTACTTCCTGAAGCTGCTAGCCGTAAAATCCTCAGAAGGTGCCCCACACTTCTGTCGTAATCCACACATATCTTAAGGGCCCCGTATTTGGAGAAGTCCTACTCGGGGACAAATATACTATCACACCCAATGCGACCCCAACTATCGGAATCCCCCATGTGGATGTGACTCCTGTAGTCTCTTCATTTGGACACGGGAGCGCCGCCTGTCTTGACGCTTCCCGCCACCCAATTTGCTTGCCGGAGTCTAGTAGGGAATCAGGGAATATGTTATAGAGGGATTATGTACGAATCGTGGAATAAGGGAGGGATTCGATTGGGATTTGACTCCCTCATTTTCTATTAACTAGCCACCAGTAAGTTTGTGTGTCGGACTTTGACAAAAAATAAGTTGTCCCCTATTTCGAAAATAGGCTACAAAGAGGAAGGTGGCCTTGTGTATCTCCATATTCAGTTTGAGGCTTGGTTTAGGGTTTAGGGTTAGGGTTTAGGGCTTGGTTTAGGGTTTAGGGTTAGCCTTTAGGCCAATGTTGGCGCAAGAAGGATTGAGTATGCATGAATCATGCGACGGATGCATAGTGGCAAAAAGCAAGTGGAGGAACCTGGATTTCTACCCGCTACCCTGACAATCAGCAGAAATGGGTCTCCAAAAATTAGGGTTACCTTTTCAGCTACCTTTTGGGGTTCCCTTGTTCTGGGAAACTACCAGATCTGAAGAGATCTAAAGTGTACGTGACTGTTCATCCCCAGCACTTCTCCGATTAAGCCTTTGATGATCAACTCTTTGCCCAGCTACCTGGTACCCCACTACTTTTGAGGCTATATTCCTTTTTCCCCCCCCTCGCAGTGGGGTTGTTAGATTTTAAAGTAGATGTTGTCCTCGCCCGACTGGAAGCTGACTTTAGTGACCAACCACCAAGCATCCCTGCAGTG